ATGTTGATGTAGTAGATTGTCCAACTAGGATGGGAAACTGCAACTTCTGTGGACCACAACTCCATTCAATCTTACCTCCTGCCAGTTTAATATCGCTCGCTGCTTTATTTATGCTGGAGGTGACATCATCTTGTGTTTCTGGTGTAAAGCAGTTCTTTATTGAAACATAATTTTTAAAGACAAGCTCATTGGTCCGCAGTCTGAAAGTCTCCTGCACTGTCATAGACAAACAACACCAATGATGCAGTGCATTCCTCAGTAACCTTCTCCCACTGGGTTTAATATAGCAACCAAAACAGACGCACTTGTCATAGGGAGGCATGGCGCAGTGAGCCGTATATGTGGATCTTACAGGGAGGTTGGCCAGCACCGTAGTTCAATGGAGCAGAAGTTTTATACCCTAGGATGAAAACTTCTGGCATAATTTTATTCTTGATGCAGTTGCCTGGTTGCTTCTAGTCAAGGTTGACTGATAGTGGAGGTTAGGGGCCTATATAATGTGTCCATTAAATAATAATTTGTGGCCCTTGAGTTCAGTATAAACCTGTAACTAAAATTACACATGGTGCCAAAGTTACATAATATGTATTTTGGCAAAGTTCATTTTGGTGTGAAAGTGAACTTCATTCAGATTTTACCTCACATTGCTTAAATATAGTCCTATAAGGTATTTTTTCAAATGTGAAAAGTTTAGAAAGTGCGCCACTCTCAGATACTGCTGGTGTCTGTGTGAAATATTCATCTAAATCTCATTTTGCCAGGGGGCCCAGAATTTTTAGCTATGCTCCCGTACATAGGGATCTTTTTTGTCATGTAATCTACACATACACTGTACGTTGACCCAGTTTGCAGGGTTAGGCCCCGCCCGTGTGGCCCAACAGCAATATTATCATCCTTCCAGCCGTGGGATTCAAACCAGCAGCCTTCCAAACACGGACAGAGATTCCTAAGCTGCGCTGTGTGGCTATATATAAAAAGGCATTCTTATGTATGTATGCATGCTTTTTCCTCTCTCCTCTGAAGTTTAAAGTCTTACTTTCAGCCCCCTCAGCACAAATCCCCTCTCACTTCCCAGGCAGCTGACAAGGCAGCAATTAGAAACCGGCAACGTGCAGACCTGAATCGGTGGCCTTTCGGAGTCACCGTGCAGCTGATTGAGATAAGCTGGCATTGTGCTTTCCCGGTGAAAGAAGACACGAGACCCAGTCATTTCCTTAGCTCTGCTTTTGGCTGGCTGGCCCGTTCTCTTTAATTAAGGGGACAGGGCTTGCTGCTTTTCCTCCAGTGGGACAAATACAAAAAGCTGATCAATTAAGACAACTAAGGCAGGGCACATGCACGGGCAAACCAGCGCTGTTGCCTGGGGCCGCCAGAAATGTTGTCTGGTTGTTACGGCCTCATATATATATATTAATCTCCTGGCACTTTTTTGAGATTTATCTTAGTGATCATACATTGGCCTAGTCCAAAACACTGAAATACTTCTTTTTTTATCTTGATTTAGTAATAACCTGTTCATGGTCAAACACAATGCCCCATTCATTCTATACCTGTGTAGGCTCTGTACAGTCACTGTCATGTACATGTCAAAGCCAAAACAGAAAGAAGAATTTTACTGGTGATGTCATCAACTAAAACTGAATCATTGAGTGACTGAAATGACCAGAAGTATTTCTTACGAAATATCCTAGAGTTTTTGGGAAACTGGGAAATGGCTTGATATGGTATGATGGTGTGGTGTGGCATGGTATGGTGTGAAGACATTTAAGATGGTATACACTTTGGAATTGTTACCCTTTAAAATGTGATTTTAATGTAATATCAGTGTGTATGTACGTCCCCAGGTATTCTATTTATGTAGTCTTTCTCTTTGTATGTATGCTTGTTTAAGAGTTGAAAAAACAAAAAGTAAATGATAAAATATGGAATCACTGAGACACAGGGGTAGATGAGGAACAAATGACCATTTCAGTTTGGGTGCATACCTTTCGTACTGTATCATAGGATCTCAAGCTAAATAAAATGGCTCATTTCTGCTGGTTTTCTAATCTGTAAATGTATCAGTTTGATTATGGTAATGATATGAATCACTTTTTGCCGACCATTCCAGTAAATCGCAGATCAAAGCTAACAACTTGCACTCTGTACTGCCCACATTCCGTAGTTTGGGAAATATTTCCGTGTCCAAGTCTGGAGCACCTCGAACTGCTTCCCTGCAGTTTTCGTATTTACAGGAAGCCATTAGTCATTGTTTACTGCCCTGTGACTGCCATGATCTGCCATCATCAGCCTTCTGGCAATTTAGCGATATTCTTTTAAACAATTTGGAGGCTATAGAATTACCTGTGGATGGAAAATTGAAATATATTGTAAAAGGCCCATTTGACATTGTAGTGCTGTCCAAATTTTCTGCTGTAATAAATTTATCCTCCATGACCCTGGCTAGAATAAGCAGTCAAAAGATTGATGGACAGACAGATGTTTTCCACTGTTTGTAGTTTAGATGTATGAGTTTGAACAGAAAGTTGTTAGTCTTTCTTCCACTCCTAAATTTCCCAGGGGATCAGTAAAGTTTCTCCTTTCTTTCTTTCATTCCACCCTTCTTTCATTCCTTCTTTTCTTTTCATGCATCTTCCTTTCTTTCTCCCTTTCTTTCTCTTTCTTGTTTCATTAAAAGGTCATCAAACAACGGTCTTAATTTCATGTTTAATCACTCAAACACATATATACAGCTCAGGCAAAATTACTTACTTTCTTCCCTCCAAGCTGTGACAAATGACTGCAGTTAAGCCTTTTGGTGAGATGCAGGGTACAAGGTCATTGTGTTCACCTGGCCCTTCTCCATCTACAATTCTGGAACCTTCTGGACCCTAATGGAGATGTGTCGTTTGCCAGAGTGAGCGCTGTGTATGACTGAAAATGAAAAGATGTATTCGATTTCGATTCACTTCCCTAGCAAAACACACCATCAATCAATTTACACGGCAAATAGGCAGCATCTGTATTGCTACATGGGCTCCGCTGGTATTTACTGATGCCCGTTCTGCTGGTTAAATTCAAGATATTTAGCTCCTTTAGAGAGTAAATGAATGAACAATCATTATGGAGGAAATTTCATGTACATGAGATTCAGTTATTTTTATACATAATACATGTAATACCAGAATGATCTTTTATTATAAGTGTTAATTTGGTCATGATGTTAATTCTTAACATCTGTGGAGGATCTGTCTGCCTGTTAATTCAAGATTCAAGATTACTTATTTGTCACATGCATAGTTATACAGGTACAACATGCAGTGAAATGTATCCTGAACCGCTCATACTTTGTGCAAATAACAGAGAAACTAGAAAATAAATTGAAATAGAAAATTGAACTTGAAAATAAATTGTAAAATAGACTGTAAATAAATTATATAGAGTGCAAACAGAAAAAAGAAAAATAACCTATGAATTTACAAGAGAGTATATACAAATTACAGGATGAAATTAAATACTGTGCAAGAAATGCTTATAGCCAGTTAAAGTGCAGTGTGCAGTGTCAGCACAGCAGTGTAAGGTGAACTGATAACCATAACACTATGACCGGGAGAGTGGCATGTCTTGGTTGAGGAGTCGAATCACCTGGGGATAGAAACTCCTCCTGAAGCTCTCCGTCTTGGC